TTTACAACACTAGAGTAAAACGACTATACTTTTAAAATGGTCTTCATCCTGTAATTATTTTCAGAATATATTTATTCAGCTATTAATATTCTCTTTGAATTTCTGTCCCTCTCTAGACTGACAGTACAGAATGAAGTTTTTTTGTAAACTAAATTAATCTTTATACATCATCTATCTAACTGCGGTCTTTATGACAGTACAGGGTTGTGGAGATTATTAAGTTTTTGATTGAGATCACGAACCGATTGATGTTAGACCACCATTGAAAACCGGGAAGCACTGAACGGCTGTTTCGTCCTATTGTGGGACTCCTCTGCTGCGGTCTTTATGTTGAACAGATGGTTAGAACCTGATGACTAACAATTATCAGTAATAAATACACTAACCTAAAGATTATCACAGTGGTCAGAATTTTCATTTTTAAAACATCATTTCTACCCTGACTAGTACCGAATGAATTTTTGTACTTATCAAAGGAGCTGTGAAACTTGTAATTAAGACGTATGAAAACCGTTTGTCCTTATATATTATCACATGAACAGTACTAGATGGGAGACAAATCTTTGAATCAAAACGCAGAGTACTTAAATAACATTATCTTTTTACCACACAAGGCTATTTACACCAATCTTAGGATAACAAATAGTGCCGTCTAGCCAAATATGAACTAGTATTTAGAAAATGTTTATAGAATAGTCAAGAACGAAGTGTATAGGATGGAACGCTCGTTCTCGATAACTTACTCATCAGCTTCAACAGCTACAAATCCAAAATTATTATTGCATTACAATAGACAAAATACTAAAGTCGAATTGATGCATATTACGAATTTCCCATCTATTAAATCTTAACTATTACTAACTGCTAACGAAATGAAATAACATCATAGGTAATGTCGAAGAAAGGTCATGCATAATGGGTAAGAATAATTCGAAACATGAATGGTATTGTAGTCGTTGTGATAATAATAACAATAATAATAGTGACATGGAAAATTATTAATAAGAATATCTTGTAAAATGAAGGTCAAATCACGATTTAGGACAGAAATAAACACCTCTGAAGATAGTACAAATCAAAATGAAGTAAAAGGGAAAAACTTGGAGCTAAAAATAAAACGACCCTAATTTTTTTCAAAGGTAAACAATTAAGTTGTATACGCCTTTGTTTTATCCATAAATTTATTCAAATTGATTTCAATTACTTCAGCTATATAGAGTAAAAATAAGCTTGCACCTTTTAGTAATTTCCTAGGAATCCGATCTATGATTAAGGAAGTATCTATAATTTGTTGGAAAATAATAGTTCTATAAATAAATTTCGCGACGCCTTTCTTAACTATGCTGATACGTGTTTACGAGAAAGTAAAGATAAGAACCTTCACAGAAACAGTCAAGTTGATAAACATTCATAAATGAGCATGTCATCGGTAAATTACCCTTAATTTTCTACATTAGGATTAGCTTCATCTTAATGCCATATAGTTTTTGATACCTTTCTCTAACCTTACCAATCATGTTATTTTATTTCGTTAGCAGTTATTTATAGTTAAGATTTAATAGATGTGAAATTCGACTTTTGAAATTCATGATATGAATTAAATCAACGTTAGCATTTTATCTATTGTAATGCAGTAATGATTTTGAATTGGAGCTGTTGGAGCTGATAAGGAAGTTGTCGAGAACGAGCGTTCGTTGTAACACATTCTGTTCTTAAATATGATTTTTCTTAAAGAGGGAAAATAATGTTTGTAATAATATTTTATATATTGTTATAGATTGTTATTTCTAGTTAAGTATGAATTATCTTATGGCTATTTCCTTATATTACTCTTAAATGTCATCCGTTTTCGCTTTTCATATGTACCATTCTTATGTGAACATTAACGAAATCCAGTGTAATAAATCGTGATTTTCACAATCAAGACTTCCAACTTGTATTTTCTTAAAGTACTCTGCATAAATTGATATATCGTCTTGAATAGTTCTCATAAGCAAATAGTTATATGCAACCAAAATTTATATTATTTGCAATGAAATTTTACTTGATAGAATTAAAAGATGTTTATAGGTATCAATGCCAAGGTTGGACTTGTTAGTTTCAAACAAATTGAATATTGAGTGGAAAGTTAATAATAAGTATGTGTTTGTTATATCCAAATGAGTAGAAAATCGTATTTCTGACGTTTCGTGAATTAATGTAAGCCACTTCTTTAGAGCAAATAAATAACCGAGTTAAATTAACACAAGTCTAAATAGTACTCTGAAGAAGTAACTTACACTAGGTCATGAAATACAATTTTTCTACTCATCGGGATATAACAAAAATGTACTTGTTATTAATTAAAAAATGTATTTTGACGCAACATTTTTTCGATTTTTAACTGATAATACTAATGGAAAATATTCAAAGTACAATTTTTCTAGGTAAAATGAGTGACTTATTGAGCGATATGCTTAATAAAACAGTTGACACAATTATATGCTTTCGTCCATAGTTTTTAACAAACATGTATCAAACACTGTGAAATAATACTGGGTCCTTTAACTGAATGTTTACCATTAATATTTTACTTAATGCTGTTAAAAACTGGAAATGTTACTGGAAGTTTCCTTTGGAAATTCGTTACTACTTATTAATTATCGCACATCATTAAATTTTTCCGAATAAATTGACACAAATCAACGTGGTTTATCCGATGAACTGACGTCAATTAACTAGGCATTGAAAAGTAAGAATATCTTTCGTATTGAATACTATTCAGCAGTTTGTATATACGACTACATGGGAGATAAAATCCATGGTATTTTGCTTTCGAGATGAAGATAGTACTAACGAGTCATTGCCTTTTACACATTATTGTTAGAAATCATTTTTATTTTTTTACTGGTGCTACTATTTTATGAGGTTAATTGTATTCAGTGATCAGAAGATTATCACGTATAATCGAAAATAGTTTTATTCTATCAACAAAGTAATGCAATAGGTTTCCTTATATTATGAAACAAAGTCATCTCAGGACGTTTATTATTTCTAACAGGAAACATTTATTTAAATGTAGTGATTATTAACTAATAGGTTATTATCCAATTTAATAACAACCTAACTTAACTCCTATAACAAATTTAAATGGTGTCATGTTTAATCAACTTACTATGTCTCATAAATTATTTGATACAATTTACTATCCTAGAATTATTTGTATCAGCTATGGTGTTTGTATTTCAACAATCATTAATGGCTAATTTTATGAATTTTTTGAGCTTTCAAATATATGTAACCATATTTTTGGAATAAATTCTACTGTTTATCAGTATTTTAATAATCTATAAGACCAATAAATCCATTGCTTATTGTTTTTCATATATTAATGATTGTACTTTTATTTACACGTGATAGGTAATTAATTAAAACTACCTAATGGTTCTAATGTACTACCGACATGGAACAACATTTCCCAAACTAGAATTTTAAGACAATCAAAAATGAAGCTAACAGATGAAATAAATCAGTTTTGCATATTTATGTGTTACTAGATCATAATACTTAGAAAATTCAAATTCAAACTGATATTGATCATAGTGATTATCTATAAATCAATAAAGCACTCTAATATGGTATATCTTGTAGTTTGATTGCTCACATTGAATTTTAATACTTTTTACCATTTGAAAATTTGTTCGAGTAAGAAATTGTGATAAAACTCAGAATTAAAGTCTACAAAATGACAGTGAATAACCTGAGTTTACTTTCAGTGCTATTTAATATCTGTTATTTATTATATTTTGGGTTAAGGAATTAAAGACCTAAGAGTTTTTTGATAGAGTTTAGTTCGCTGAGGTGGATGGTTTGGTTGTGGAGCTTTCATTGTTCAGAAGAACGACCAAACCATCCAGCTCAGAGAACTAAATTCCATCAAAACCATCCACCTGAGCTACAAATCTTCACCATCTCAAGACTTAAGAGTCTCCAATAATGTCAAAAATTATCTTTTAATTAGTTAATGTAACATTTTAATTCAATTATTCCGATGAACCTTCTAGGAAATATTTTGAATAAACATTTTGACTAGAATTGTCCATAAAGATGATTTTTTTTAATTATTATGTTCAAAAATTTTAAGTGTTATTCCTTTAAAACTGCATCCTCACTGACTGATTTTAAGGCTCACGCCACATCCTCCCACAAATATCCAAACATCTCTTATTATATTATCGACAATAAAGGCATGAAATACATTTCCAACTCTTCTGATCTTTCAATGTTTATTTATTTTCTCAACTGTTGAATGACGAGGGATACAAAATTATCTGGAATACATTGAATTTGAGTTTCCGATTGTTGTGTGCATCGAATTATTCAGCTCAGTTGCATACACAAGACTGAATTTTGTGAAAGTCCCACTTTTATAACAGAATATTTATTTCAATGGTCAAGATCATGAGTCAGTTGAAGCTAGACTACCATGGAAAACCTGAAAGCACTTGACGGCCGTTTCGTCCTATTGTGGGACCCCTCGGCAGTGCGCATCCACGACCCCGCCCCCTGCAAGATTCGAACCCAGGACCTACTGGTTTCGCGCGCGAGCACTTAACCACTAGACCACTGAGCCGGCATCCAACGCTGTTAATGTCTAACTTCAACTAATCCGCGAAATTGAGCGACGACCGTCCAGTGCTTCCAGATTTTCCATGGTGGTCTAGCTTCAACTGACTCATGATCTTAACCATTGAAATTAACTATAGTATCCACAAAACCCATCAGAATATTTATTACCGTATTATTAGTTTTCTTATTAAGTAAATTTATTAATATGTTAAATGATTCCCAATTCAAATGTGTAGGTGGATTATGGAGTTAATTACCTATCTACGAGCCATTAAAAATATGCTAGATTGTGAATACTAGTTTTTTTTCATTTTTATTTCGAATCATTCTTCCTAATTATGTGGCAAAATCTCATTTATTTCTCCTGGATTTTTTTTAAATTTAAAATTCAGGAGATGGAGTTTTCACACCATCGGAATTGGAAATATTTTTACAATTTCATGAGATAATGCTTTAAATGATCAATTCACCTCTTAACAAACCGGTGTGCAATTCAAACAGGATAGATTTTTGCAAAATGAGGTGACTATTTGAAGTGGAATATGAAGAAAAAAATAGCAAATAGATTAGATATTTCATGTGGCAATTTTAAGTATTAATCTCTTTTGCTTTTGCTTACATCAAGATTCCAATATTAATGCCATTGCAATTACTGTTGTCATTGTTGTTATCACCAAGTACTTCGTTAACCCTTCTTGATTGTGTTGTTATTTGGTCAAATAAATGTGGTGAAAATAAAGACAATTAAATGAAATTAGTTTTAACTTCGAATATCTGCAAAATTGGATCATTTAGTGATTGGTGAATTTTCATCATAGTAAGAAAGTAATGATATGTGAATCCCTATAAAGGTTTATGTAGTTGTCTAATTAATGTCATGTCACTGTATTATCGTCAACTATCTGTCTAACGTAACTTCCTGATTATATAATCTTATAATTAAATTTGTTATAAAACCTACTGATAGTTAACTGATAATGTCAGTGCTAAATATGTTCTAGATATGAACGTGCTAAATTTTTAGCTAGAAACAATTTTCAAATTTGTCAGCTGTCACTGTGTTGCTTTAAAAGTTGCTAAAAAGTTACCGCCACTATTTGATTATATTTTCATTTATGGACAATTTTCCATATGCAATGGAACTAACTCATGGAAAAATACTGCTTCGTGTAATGAATGAAGCCAGGCAAAAAATCCCATTTCAACCATAATCAAAAGTTTATGCTAGACTATAGCAAAAAATCCGCTCCAGACAAAATAAGAATATGGTGAAAAAGAATGCCGACGGTATATCAAATATAAGAATAGGAAGTGATAAAGATTAATACTGGTAATGAGATATAGTCGAGCTAAATCTCGTTCATTCGAAAGGAATGTTATATTGTATATTATACTGGGAAAATATGAAAATATTCAGAAGGACCTTCACATGCTGCTATTCTGATACATTATTAGAACAATGAGTTACACTAGTCTTTAGATTTTGATCCAGATAGTTATGATGGACAAACGGATGTAACTGTTCACAGATATCTTTCACTCTACAGCTCTTCATAGGCGTCAATAAATAACGTGGTGCAAAAGCACCTAAGACACATCAAACGTGTTTCACTCCTAAACATCAACATTAAGCTACCAAACTTCCGCATTATTTGAACTGTCTTCACACGAATGTGGGCACTTCTCAGAAGACGATAATTGAATGTCTTCAGCTGTGGCGTCATGCTCCACATTAATTCGAACTGCTCACATTGAAGTATTTGGCACCTAGTCTTTTAAGGACAAACCAGTATATGTTATTACTCTTGTAATGCATATATTGATCTCACTTGCTAAACTACCACTAGCACTCATAAATGCAACTATGTCTCAACTAATATTTTGAAGAAGACAAAACGAAATAACCCCCTGCAACCCAATCGCTATTTTGGAATAAAAAGGAGGATATTGAGTCCTTCAATCTATCTCATATGAGAGGCAGCTTCCGAAAATTATCTATTCGCATAAAACGACGAATTTTCCAACCAATTAAATATTAGTGTCCAAGTCGTGTTTGATTTCTGTCAATTGGACAATGCACAGGATGGGCAAACAAGTCTTTTGACAAATACTTTGAGACTTGATGAACCCATCTTAACAACATACGCAATCCACTCTTTATGGACTTAAGCACTTCTTTTTGAAATGTTTTCAATACTCAAAAGTAAAGCCTACTCTGGATAGAGCTCATGTAACTATTTCCATATGACTGATTCAATTCACTTATATATACTAATTGGGTCATCGTAATTAGGTTTATCCTTGAAATTTTGTGTCATAACTATTAGGATGGAGGATGATTTGGATATAAGTAAATAACATTTTTATAAAAACCGCTAGAATAAACAAAGAAATTACTAATGAGAAAATAACAGCCATGAGGTCACCTTTGCTCAATTATCGATTTTGTGTAGTTTGAAAAACACATTCCAAAGAGTTTATCAATAAAAATTGTATACTCACCTCATTTCAAAAATAAAATCAATAGAACTAGGTTAATAACAGTAGTCTATCACGGTAACTACTTGTTTTATTGATAGAAATCTAAAGTATACTTTTATTTTTTGGTCTAATTACGCAGATTGTTAAGATTAATATCTATCGTTAAACGATAACACAATCAGAAAATTCCTACAATTTCATATTTACATTCCTAATTAAATAAATAACTCCACAACTATAAATGATACCTCACCATGGTGGTAAGGTTTGCTTATTGTGATGGCCAGATAGTTATTTTGGTTGAAACACTTATTCCTATCGGTTTTATTATGTCAGGCAGGTTAGCTGAAGAACGATAAGACTAAGAGCAATAACTTATAGATGACGAAGTTATGTTGCTGGCCGTACTGGGATGTGATGGTAGTAGTTCCTCCCAGACAAAAAGCATTCACAAAGACACTATCTTTTCATAACGTAAAGAGGTTAGAAAAGGTTGACAATGAAAATAGCGCATCTCGCGTTACCCTATGGATTTCCGATGGCATTACGAGTTCCAAGGTATGGAGATAGCATATGTGAGACTTTCCACAAAAAGGCCATGCATCCAGGAATAACCAGTTTTCCGTTGATATTTTCAATCAATGCAACAAAAGAATACTGCAGAAAAAAGTGTTTTCATTGTAACGTTAACTTTATGATTGCAGAAAAAGCAAAAAAACAAAACCTTTCTTTTATTCTGTTAAAGTGAATACGCAGTGACTACACACAATAATCGTATTGCTCACACTTTAATATATCCATGTTGACCTTGCTTTATAACTAAACCTTTTGTCTTCTTTAGAACCATTTTAAAATGAAACTGCTAACTCTGGGTTAATAAAATGGGTTTAGTTAACGTATGATCCCGACGAAACTTCAACTATTGTATGTCAGGTCTACCCCTATTTTGCAATCTCGCTATCATTATCGGAAAATCGTTCAGTCAGTAAACGAAACTCTAATAGTCGGTATTCAAACGGATTTACTAGTGAACGATGGATTGTATTATGTGGTCATGAGTAAAGATATGTTTTAAGTATCCTAGTTTAATCACTTTTAGTAAAACATTATGGTGACAATTTCTAGCTGCCTGATTGAATTATTATTGTTCCATAAACGGTACATAGATTGTATGCAAATAATGAACCTAACAATTCGGAGATTGTAAAAATAACTTAAACCTGAAGAAAATAATTAAGATACTTGTTTAAACTAGTTGTCGTGAGAAACAAGCTAACGACAAGTACACAGAATCTAATAATATTCTCCCGTTGTAAACCAGGAATATTTTCTAATGAGATTTAACAAATGTTACATAAATCCAAATGGTCTATACTCATTATCAACGGACGCCAAATGGGACGTCTATTCAGACCTTTCTGTGGATACTCCCCTTCGACACAATAAACTGTTGTTGAAGGGAATCAACTAAAATTATAATAATGGTGGCCTAAAAATTCAAATCTTATTTATATGCTCAGTAGCTAAACAATTAAAAAAAAATAAGCAATAAAAGCAACTTGTCAGTGGATAAACGTTGTTATTCACGTGCTAGAATATATGAAATGTGAATATAAACTGGTAATTATTACAAATCTAGGTCGTTCAGTATCAAATTTTATCAAGGTTACACATATCATACAAACCAGACATTTAAATATAAATTACATTACAATTATAGTTTCGAAAATCTCTTGTGGCTGATAGAGAACTTTTTCCAGCTGCTCAAAAATGTGGAAAAGAACAACGAATTAAAACCTTGTTCGAATGAATCACATTTCTGCTTAATAATACAAGATCACAATATAATATAAATATGTACACTTGTTTACAATAATGTGTCTTTACGATGTGATTAGTAATGAGATTTTTTATGTTTTTTCTTGGATTTTGAATGATGATCGTCCCGATCTCTTGGGTCCTCACGATCATAAGAATCACACCTAGGAGTTGGTGACCTCCGTGGAGATCTGTCAGAGATTCGATTACGCGCAAATGCATAAGCAGCTGGTGGTGAACGATGGCGCCTTCTACGAGCCTACAAACGAGGTAAAATTCGTGCATTACAATAGCGTCTTTATAAATGAACAGATTGAAATAATAACAAAATGTATTGGAGTATAATTGCACCGTTAAAGCGAAAAGAACCCTTGACTAATAGGGTATTCACATATTTAAAAAGTCAAAAGCATTAACATACTTTGTTCTCGATTTCCAAAGCTTCTCGACGACGTTTCATGTTAGCAACTACAGCATGTGCGACGGCTGCAGGGACTGAATCAGGAGCTGGTGGAGGTGACGAACGATACCGATTAGCCGTCGTTAATGTGGTATTAACTGTCGAAGATTTGGAGATAGTTGTACTAGTATTTATACTTCCTTTTGTGATAGAATTAGTTAATTTCAACTGGGTAACCAATTGGGCAGCTTTTTTACGCCTTTCCTCACGCAGACGCTCTTCTTTAGCTGTAGGGACCGTAACTTGATAACCATCGGCAGAGAAGTCTAAAAGACTTGTAGGTTCATGTATATCTATCATTTGGAGAGAATGAACATAATAATTCAGCAAAGTTGTTTGTAAAGTACGTTATATCAAATTAAAAAGTATGCTTTAATGAAACTAAATAACGGAAACTTATTGTATGCAAATATAGATCAAGAACAAAGACTGTGTTTACCTAATAAATCTTCAAGAGCACATGAAGGCCAGTTGGAGGTTAAATGTGAGCTTGAATTAGATATCGACTCCACAGGAGAACACAAATTATTATCATAGGGTGAAGTGATGTTACAGATAGACTGAACAGGAGACTGAATGTTATGCACTTGTTTATTTCTCTCATTTCGCTCAACGGATATGGAGGGTGATGTACAAACAGAATTCGAATTTGAAGCTCCACTAGAACGATTTGTGTAAGAGTATGGACTTTCAACTTGAGGTGGAGAAGATTCCGAGGAAGACGATGAACTAGGACTGGGAATACCAGGTATAACACACATTTTTGGAGATCGAGTTTTTCTCTTCCGTGATTTTGACTGACTGTCACTTTTCGAATGACTCAATAATCTATTAAGTTGTTCGTTAGTCCGTCTTAAACTTTTGGAAACAGATTCTGAGTACTCTAGTGCAGCGGCTTCAATTATGTCCATAATTTCTCCCGCCGACGTTTCTGTATTTTGAGTGGACTGAGACTTTGGTGGAATCGGGCGAGCTAATCGG